AAACAGCAATGCTTATTTCATTGTATAGTTTGGGGGAGTGGGAAGGAGAAGGAGTAAGCAGGGAAGGAAAGAGAGAGAGAGAGTCATGCAATATTTTTGAGTGGTTTTTTTTTTAGCATAATATTTTAACTGTTTTGAAGTAGTTACAGTGCTCTCACACCTTGGTTTTGAAATTATTTATTGACTCTAAAGTGTTAAATGAGAACAGTTTCCTTTTAACAAGGACAAATTTGGGGCATTAAGCATCATGCAGGTGTAGAAGGACTGCAGGATAATGCTGGAGGACCAAAGCCTCGGCACATTTTGACAAGCAGTGGGAGCAGTGACCTATCGGCCTTAGAGAGCCCCAGGTGTCAGCAAGTCTGCAGAACCACTTAGGCTCTCCAGCTTGTCTTTGTTTTCACCGTTCTCTCAGGAGGCACACAGTGGAGTAGTCCTCTCCTTGTAAGGATCCTGGCGTGTGACCTCTTCTGCTTTGCTCTATTACCAGGTCACTGTGAGTGTTCCCTCATGCTATGCCGGGAGGACAGCACAAAATAGAGAACAGAGAGGCTGGGATGGTCCCATAGTTGGTCTGAACCCACCTGGCCCACACCTGTGGTTTCTTTCCATCCCCATGTTGGATGACACCACACAGGTCCAGGTTCCATTACCAACCACACATGCACAGTGAAAACCTGTAGCCCCAGTATGTCTGAACAAATGCTGTTTGGCCAGCAAAGTACTAATTAATAAGACAGCTATTGGACTGACTTTACAGAAAGATAGCTTTCTGCTCCTGGACTGGGCCGGGCTGTAAAATATCTTACATGTTTGCTCTGGAAACTGTATAGCTCAGGGCAACCCATCTTTATAGGGACAAGAAGAGGCAGGACTAAAAGACTGAGTTGGTCTGCTGCCCTGGGGCTGCTAGAGTTGGGTACAGCTGCTGGGAAGACAGGAAGGGAAGTCTGAAGAGGGGAAGGTAACTGGAAGGCACCCAGCAATTCAGAGCCATCAGCATGCAGGATAATTACCTGCTGACAGGTCTCTGATGTACACCTGTGTGTGTGTGTGTGTGTGTGTGTGTGTGTGTGTGTGTGTGTGTGTACACATGCACACTTTGGTTAACTGTGTCTTTGCAGGCAATTTAAGAACATATTCTGCACTCTACACCTAGGCAAAGGGGAGGTAGAACTTGTAAGTAAAGATCTGCAACTCTAAGGCATTATATTTTAAAGAAATCCAGAACTAAGCTTGAGAATGTAGAATATTCAAAGACAACAAAATTAAAACATGGAAAGTTTCTGGAAAAGGGAGAGCCAGAGCTAGGCTTTGAGTCAGTGCCTGACCTGGAGAAGATGTTTTCAGAATGATCTGTGAAGAACTGCATGATGAACTGGACAGCAGACAGAGGGAATTATAGGAAGTAAAATAGATATTATGGACGGCAAACACTTGGCTGGATTCCGGGGCTATGGTCCTCTATGGCCCATCTCCCTGCAGAGACTCACTGGGTGCCTCCACTGATTTTTACGACATCGGTTGGGAACTGTGCTCTTTGACAAAATGAAGCCTGCAATTCTACTAAAGAGTCACTTAGATGCATTTCCCCACCCTCCTGTCTCCCAAAACAAAACTGGCTCTGCTTAATTCCCTCTTGCTCTTTCAGTCCTGATGCCAGGAGCAGTGAATTCCAGAGACACTTGCTAGGGTTTTATCTGATTGTTCCTCTCAGGGACTGACATAGTGTAACTCATTGCTGATAGAACAGAAAGGTAGTGTAATATGGATATTATGCTACTTTTCCATGGAATTCCATAGCAAGAATCGTGCTTATTATCCATTCATTTTTTCTCCTTCTGAAGTTTGCAAAATTTAACCAGCCAGAACAAATTTGTGTGCCCTATCATCATGTGAGAAGTGGCGCTGGGATTTCCTAATGTTCCTGGTATTTTCAACTTGAGGGCCAAATAGATTTCTTTTTCCTTAGAGGTGATTTAGCTTTTCAATGTGCAGACACAAACAAGCAATATTACACCTTCCTTGGTCTTGACACATAGAACTTACCTGCAGAAGGCAGAGGTGTTGGTGGTTTCCTTTCAGTTCTGCTGTTGCATGACCTTGAATGCAAATACATTAAGGCTAGCAATTCTGTCTTCTGTTGTAAGGACAAAATTGTGTATTTTGATAAGTTTTCAGACATAGTGCAAGTGGCAAAGACTCAACAATAATTGTGAGCAGAATCTAGTAGGCTGACAGTTCCAACTTGTTTTGGGGCTCAACTTTTGGAAGTTAGCCTATAAAAATAGCAATTTACAGGAAAAAAAGAGAGTGGGTCCTGAGGCATTTGGTCGGGGCAGACATTAGTTCCATTTAGGGCTTAAGCCAGCCCACAGGTAATTGTAGGTCTCTTGCATTAGCTTGTGGGAGCAGTGAAAGCATGTAATTCGAGCTAATCTGATGGGCACATGAACTAGGTACTTGTTGCCAAGTGAGACCATGAAACAAAAGGACACATGTGTTTTCAGGGGAAAAAAACACAACACAACATAGATTCAACTGTTGCACACGTGAATCTCTGGGGGATTTTTGGAAGGCTTGTCATTTTAGAAAAGTACTTCAAGCGCACAGTGGATGAAACCCTGGAACTCAGTGTCACGGAGGTGACATGGTCAGTGATGTAAGTGGCCTGGCATAATTGGAGAGGCAGCTTTCAGATCGGGTTTATTTGAACTGATTCACAAGGCTTTCTTTTGAAAGCCTGTCATATTGTGGGCCTTCGCGTTCATTCTACCTAATACATTAGAATCAGCCCAGACTTTACCCTGTAAATTCTGATTTAACTGGTCTGGGATGAGATTCAGCAAGACTGCGTTGTGACAGTCCCCCCAGACAACTGTAATTTGATAACTGTAACTAGGATTAAGCATCCGGGTCTAGTAGCAGATATGGTTTAAGGAAGGTGAGCTGATGGTTGATGTCCATTAGTTTAAGCTACCTGAGAGGCAATGATGCAAGACCAACTGTGGGGATGGAAGTGGACATTGGCACTTTGCAATGATGCCATCTTTGTGGTCCCCATTGTTGGATTTGTGCTCCTGGGGAGTTAATGCACTGGTAGTTTTTATTTTGCTATTCGTTAACAACACAACTTCCTCAAAGCAGGTATGTAGCATGACATTAAATAAGACTGGCTCTTACTACTGCCATGATAGACTAAATTCCTTGAAGGAGACTGACTCTTGACTCCTTTTCTTAAGACTGAACCTCAGAGTAGTTCTACTGAAAGGAAAACAAAGAAAATTAAAAATGCAAATGCTTTTATTATTTTCTGCCTGTAAAGGTGCTCAAATCCTTTGCATTGAGTGGGGCCTTATTATGATCCTGGCACAGCTGTCCTCTTGGGGTCCAAGTTGTGTGTACCTGCTGGTAAGTTGGCTTTAGGATAGTGAACAACCAGGCAGCTTGATTCTGCCAGAAGTTATCCATTTCAGTAAAAATGTGTTAAAACAGTAAGTCAGTGTGGTTCAAGTACATTTTGCTAATTTAAAACAGCTGCATAAAAAGTGCTGTTAAGATCAGACTTTTTGTTATCAGCATTAAGAAAAAAACCTTATAGGGGCAATTTTTTAAATACCAAAAATGTGTACCTTGGACTGAATGGTAGGATTAAAATCCGCAAAAGTTGGGGGCAGAAGTTTAATAGTAATTCGAACATGAACTGATGTATGTCTTGAAATGTGAGAGTTCTTTAATGTATTACTGAGGAGCAGGCTTCATCAGAGGGACCACTAAAGAGAGGGTGGTCTTAATCTGCTGTACTATTAAACCCAAATTGGGGAACAGTGGGCATAATGATTTGGGGCCATAGATGTTTGTAGGAAAAGTGGAATTTGGAGAACAGAACTGAGTCCTGTAATTACTGTGACTTCATATTGACTTGGCAAGTCATTTGTAAATATAAAAACTGTGACCTCACCAGAGATCAGGTGTGTGCTTACTAATGATTTCAGGTGAGGGTGAAACAGAGGTGAGAAAAGTGTTGGGAAACATGATTTCTTTACAAGCACAATTGACGCCCTTAACAATCAATATTAATAAAAATGCAGATGTAAGGAGACAGGAGATTTGTGTATTAGTAACTTTGGTAATTTTGCTAGTGTTTTAATACATACGAATTTTCCAGAGGGTTGTGAACAGTTGGCCAGGACCCACGAACAGCCACTTCCTCATTCAACAAATGTCTTCTAAACACCTCCTCTGTGTCAGGTGGCAGCACACCCAAAGTTTATGAAGTAGGGCTCTGTACTGGTCAAAGTCTGCAGAGAAGCAGAACAAATAGGATGTAGCGCATGCATACATGCATGCATGTGTGCGATATTGTGTCTATATTTATACAGGTACTATGTATATATAACAGCAAGCATGTGATACTACATACTATATATAATACCATATAGTATACACACATGTATGTATATATCTCTCATATATTTACGTGTCTTAAGGAATTGTCTCATGCATTTATGGAGGCTGGCAAATCCAGAATCTGCAAGGTAGACCAGCAAGCTGGAGACTAGTGAAGGCTGGTATCGTGGCTCAGTTCCATGGCTTTCTTCAGGCAAAACTTTCAGGAGGTCAGTCCTTTTTCCACTAAGGCCTTTAGCTCTTTGGATGAGGCCCATGCTGTGGAGGGTAATCTCCTTTACTTAATGTCTACTGATCATAAATCGTAAATTGTTAATCTCACATAAAAAGACCTTCACAGAAAAATCTAGAATAATGCTTGATGAACTAGCTGGGTAGCACGGACTGGTTAATCTGACCCGCGGTCAACCATCATAGACTCTGTGGTAGAGTGGTAGGAAAGAAAGCCCACCAGGCCGGGCTCACTCTCCTTCCACTGCCACTCCCAGGGAGTACTTGGAGCCACTTCCTGAAGATGGTCAGATTGGTGGGTGGCAGAGATGCCAGGCAAGGCTCACTAAATAAGGGTAGGAACAAAGATAAGGTGGAAACTTAATGAGAAAAGTTGAAGGTGCACGTGTGGAGTTCAGGAAGGAGAAGGAGCCTTTTCTGGTACTTCTGTCGTGCAGAAAATTACTCTGATTGCTGAGTTTACAGCAGAATCACAGCTCAACTCTCTGTGAAAGCCTGCAGTTCCTTTCCCTGATTCTCGACTGGGAGTCTCTGATGGTCATTTCTTTGACGTAAGTGGAACAAGCAAAAGTATAGTTGGCAGAGACAGTACACCTTGATTAATGGAATTGTTTCTTATAAAACTTGTATGGTTGGCTTAATCTTTTTAGACTGTGATAACATTTTAACTATTTGGGAATATAGAGAAAAAAGTGAGTAGACCCACCAGGTTAGCAGAATGATTTGTATTTTTATGTAGTCTCTTCTAGTGCTTTTCCCCATTTGCTTGCATAATCCTTATGGTGCACATATATTTTTATTCTTCTCCATTATATCGTCAATTATAAGTATATTTCCATGTCTTTTATAGTTGGTCTTTGTGGAGATGTAACATTCCATCAAAGGGATGTACTATAATTTAATTAACCAATTTCTGTTTGTTGCATGCTAAAGTTGCCATACATCTTTCGCTGTTATAAATCACGCTGCAGTGGTTTGCTCTTCCTCAGGATGAATTTCTAAAAACAGGGTTACCGAGCCAAAGGACATGAACATTTTTATAGTTCTTGATGCATAGAGTTTCAGTTGGATTTGACTGGGTTGCATGCATTTTTCTAAGGTTTTTGTTGTTGTTGCTTTTGTTTTCTTGATTTGTTGGTTATGACCTTGCATCGTCACCTCTGGTTTGAAATAACAGCCTGTGCAGCCCAGGCAACACATAGATGGCCATCACAACCCCAGAGCCCTTCAGCCGTATCTTTCTAACAAAAATATTCTTTGAAGCTAAAAACGTCCTTGGCTAGTCCTTGCTTATGAGAGATTTATAGCTTGGAAAATCTGAGTCCAATCTCTGCAGCCATTCTTCAACTGAGAGTGGAAAAGAACCACATTTCACACTCAGAAAGCAATTTGGGATTTATTTTTGGTTCTTTGATAATTCTGGGCAACTCTGAAATGCTTAATGTCTTATTGCTTTTCAGCAGAAGAGTCTCTAGGTGAAACGTTTAAAGAAATGGTTGTTACAAATTGGAGCAAACATTTTAGAAGATGGAAGTTAATAGTACTATTATCTCTTTAGAAAGACTTCCTTATATTTTCTTTTGCAACGTTTGGAGTTTCTTATTGGACAATTAAGTGGCATAGTTAGTTCCACTTTATTGGATGAATTCTAGTAAACATGCTTGCAGTTCTCATTTTGGTACCAGGAAACAATGTATTGTAAGAAGTAAATTTAAAAATTGTTGTGGGGTAAGGGGCTAAACTTAAATATAGGAGGTGTAGAAGAGAATTATAGTTTGGAAAATTATTTATTCTCAAAATCATATTTTTTGATATCTCCTAGAAATGGGAGCATAGTAGGTGGCCTTTTGTGACTGGCTTCTTTCACTTACTATTCTGTTTTTGAAATTCTTTCATGTTGTATCATGTATTAGGTCTTTGTTCCTTTTTTATAGCCAAATGATATTTCATACAGTACATATTATCACATTTTATTTGTATATGCGTTAATTGATGGACATTGGGCTGCATCTACTTTTTGCCCTTATGAATAATGCTGCTATGAATAGTCACATGCAAGTATTGGATGGATATGTGTTTTCATTTCCTGTGGGTACATACATAGGAGAGGAATTACTGAGTCATATGGTAACACTGTTTAGCTTTTAAGAAGCTACCTGTATGCTTTTAAGACTCATACACAGAGATGGTTGAGATTATACTTAGTCAGTGTCAGCTGACACTGGGGGAAAGGGATGGCCCAAGTTAGGGGTAAGAAAGGAAGCTGGTAGAGAAGTCCCTCAGCCCTAGGAAGGCTTAATGTGGATGTGCTTTCATAATAAACTTCTTGTTTCACTACTGTCTTCTCTTCAGTTTTTAAGCATATTTGTATAATTGTGAAATTATAGGAGGACATTATGGTTTGAAAGTTACATTAGTCATCTCTCTTTTGAGGGCAGAATAACTGATACACACAAGGTTAAAGGAGAAAAAAGTTTATTTCAGTTCATAGTTTCAGAGGCTTTAGCTTGTGGTTGACTGACTCCATTGTGGTGGGATGATATGGCACAGGAAAGCCATATACCATGGTGGCTGGGAAGCAGAGCAATCAAGAGAGAAGAGAGAAGAACAGACTGGGGACAAGATGTACCCATGTTCCCAGTGACCTACTTCCTCTAACTAGGTCCCACATCTTAGTAGTCCACTCAGCTATGACCTCATTAATGTATTACTTGCTAATTGGTTAGTAGCCTTGATACTTGAGTTTTAGGGGACACTTCATAATTAAAACACAGCAGATATGACTCAGGTATGAATCTTTCTATATTCTAAATGCCTAATTTACTTTTTAGGAATTAGTTTTTGCATTGGAAGCAAATACCACGCCCCTTAAGGTTTTTCGGAAAAATATCCTATTGAGCCTTCTAATAAAAACAATTTTTGTGTTTGTCTTCGCTTGAATGCACTAATGCTGACTTCTTGAGACCCCCTGAGGAAAACCAATAGTTCACCAAATGTCTGAACTTTCTCTGAATCTGCTGTGTGTGTGATGGTTATAATACAATGATTTCTTTTAAGTAAAATCCTCTTAATAACATGGGAGGCAATGTTTTCAGAACATTTCTGAGTGAGCATTTAATAAACTGGAGAAGATATAGTGTAAGAAGATATAGTGTAACAAGATATTGTTACTATCTGATACTTAATTTTTCACTTTTAAACATCTGAATATGAATATCTTAGGAATTTGATCTTAACTTTAGTATTAAACCTAAAGTGATTCATTTCTATGAATGTTGGCCATGAGGCTCCATTTTCCTCTTTTTTAGCAGAAAGATGATATTAGTTAGTGTAATTATAACCCTAGGTGGCATTAACCACAGAATTGAAGGTTTGGCTTCCTTCTGGCAAACAAACCTTGGGTTTTAACTTGACTGTCGTACGGCTCAGCTATATAATCATGCTACATGTGAAGGGTGGACATGAGAGTGTAGGGTTTCTGATTTAGATTCCATGAGCTGAGTTTTCCTGTGCCAGCCCAGAGAAATCTTACCATTGCTGAAGTGTTCAGTTTTTCTGTGGCTTCTGCAGACCCTGTGAGTGATCCAGGAGGCAGGCTTTGGTACATTCCAGCACAAGGTCTAATTATGGGTATAATAATTGTCGAACATTGAAAGCAAAAATCCAAATACTAGATCTGGACCTTCTTGTTTTTAAATTAAAAGGTCAGTAACCCAGTGTCAACAGTTTTAGAAAGCTTGGTTATACTGCTAAGGAATAATCAAAGTCAGCAAGAAAAAACAAACCCAGACCATTCTGTTGCTTGTAAGTGAGGAAATCCAGTTGTCTTACATGTTTTAACTGACATGATTTGACATGCTCTTTTTTTTTTTTTTTTTTTTTGGTCTGGGTTTTGGATAATTGCTTCTTGTAGAAAGCCTGTATTTTCGGTACTCTGTGGTTACCAAGCTGTACTTGACTTTTAAAAGAGAGTCAAAGGAACGTATCCTTGTGAGAAATTGCTGCTTTGTGGAGTACAAATGAGAGGTTTCGTGATCTTTGAAGCCAGAAAGGCCAAATCTGGCTTAGAAACTCCATCATCAGGGTGTGTTTTATGCTCTTCATTGCATTACCAAACTGAACTGTCTTTTTGTTGGAACTGAAAAAGAGCTAAGGGAGAGTCAAGCTTTAGATAACAATTTTCCTCATCTGGTTCAGAAAGCAGGGTATTCTGCTTCACTGTTCTAGCTCAGAAGTGGGGCAGACTGGCAGGCTGCTCCAGCCCTCCCAGTGCTTTTCAATCAGGAATGATTTTTGCCCTCCAAGGGACACCTGGCATAGTCTGGAGAGTTTTGGTTGTCATAACTGGAGGGGACACAACTGGCATTTAGAGAGGAGGCTGGGCATGTTGCTGAGCATTCTATAAAGTATAGAGTAGCCCCCACAACAAATAGAGCTGTGAGGAAGAAACACTGACCCAGAGAGTTTATATTTTCACATTAAACACGAAGTTTCGTGTTCTGCTGTATCCAGAGGGGTGCAGAGCAGCAAGGAGCCCAGTGTCTCTTGCCCAGGAAGATATTCCCTGGATTTGGATCCTTGCTTTGTGGCACTGATTTTGTAGGGGGCATTGGAATAATAAGAACTCAAAGCAAGCTTCCTACCTGGAGGAGAGGAGTGAATGAAGCCAATGGAAACCACAAATGCTGGTGTCACGTAAATGCAGCTTCTACCTGCACAGCTCAGCATGTTGTTGGCAGGCAAGATCCTACAGGCCTGGATTTATTTTCTTCTTTTCCTTGTCAAATGTTTCATAAAAGCCTTTGCCCCAGGTTAACTTTCTTCTGCTTGGTGGTTTAAAAAGTGTGTTTTGGGTGTGGAAATATTCTTTAAGCCTTTACCTTTCTTGGAAGGCACACACTTTGACAAACAGATTAGGATGTCATCCAAAGTCACCATAACCTCTGGTCTGTTTGGAAGCTTACTGACATATGAGTAGTATTTTGATTTTCCTTAGCTAAGTCTGGAGGGATGTGGAATCATTCTCATTCCTTTCCTAGAGTAGAATTGTCTGAACATTCTGGAGCCTGACCACTGCCTATGAATGAGTGGGTTGCCAGGCCAGTCACTCCCCATGTCTGTGCTCTGACCTGGCAATGAGCCCTGCTGATTTTGGGGCTACTTCAGACAGCAGAAAAGGGAAGGAAACATCTTCATGCTAATGTGCTCCTGATGCTAGCTGGCATCCCTCTTCTACTCTTTACTGACAGGGCTAAAGAAAGCAACACAAGCTAAAAGGCTGAATATCTACTGTGATTGTTTCAGAAATTGGTAGTAGGGGTGGGGTAAGGAGAAATCATGGGACCTTTAACTTACCCTAGTTGGTCTAATCCTGATCATCACTCTCATCCTAAGCAAATATTTATTTCTCTATTGATTACTAATCATTATGAAGAACAGGAGAGTGAATTATGTGTTTTCTGACCTTTTTTATAATTACATTTTTTAATTTTCAAAAGCAACTCTATGAACAGAGAACTATTATTAGCTTTGCTTTGCAAATGAAAAGACA